TATAGTATATTGATGTGAAGGTGTTGTATTGATTATGATGTATAGTATATTGATGTGAGGGTGTTGTATTGATCGTGTTGTGTAGTATATTGATATGAGGGTGTTGTATTGATTGTGTTGTGTTGTATATTGATGTGAGGGTGTTGTATTGATCGTGTTGTGTTGTATATTGATATGAGGGTGCTGTATTGATCGTGTTGTGTTGTATATTGATGTGAGGGCATTATATTGATTATGATGTTTAGTATATTGATGTGAGGGCGTTATATTGATTATGATGTTTAGTATATTGATGTGAGGTGTTGTATTGATCATGATGTGAGGGTGTGGATTCATGGTGTCTTGGATATTAAAATCAGGTGCTTCACCCTCCCCTGCTGTCTCCCTCAGCCCGTGCTGGAGTGTGCTGTGCAGAGAGGGCTGGTCTACAACAAGGTGAACCCCATCTTCCACCACTGGCGTGTCCAGGACAAGAAGTTTGGCCTGACCTTCCAGAGCCCTGCTGATGCAGTCTCCTTCGAGCGAGGGCTCCACAGCGCCATCGACAGGCTGGACAGAGGTGCTGAACCAAGAGGGGGGAGGGCTCAGAGGGAGAGAGCGGAGAGAGAGAGGGGTTCAGAGGGAGTGAAGGAGACCAACAGATACAATGAGAGAGGGGGAAGGTAACATGGAGGCAGAAGAGAAGCAGAGGCAAGTCATGAAACAGACATGTACAGAAAGGGGTCCATAGACAGATATGCAAAAGACCCCCATCCTTAAGGTCCTATAGGTGCCTTAAATCCATTTTTACTAATAGAAGTTAGCAACTGGCAAGACTCAACAGCGACATCCCCAGGATGAAAAGGGTACTGCAGGTAGGGGGGACACGCAAAAGAGAGAAAAAGCAAGCAAGAGTTTATTTCACACAGCATCCGTTCTATTGTATCTTTGTTTATGGTGTCTGTATTTACATCTGGATGAAACCAGGCTGGGTGACGCAGTGGTGAGCACTGCTGCCTTGCAGTGCTGAGGCCCTGGGTTTGATTCCTGGGGGTACTGCCTGTGTGGAGTCTGTATGTTCTCCCCGTGTTCATGTGGGGTTCCTCTGGGAGCACCGTTTTCCTTCCACAGTCCAGTAGGTTAATTGGCTTCTGGGGGAACCGGCCCTGGTGTGAGTGTGTGCGTGTCTGTGATGGCCTGGCGTCCTCCCCAGGGTGTATCCTGCCATGCATTCATTGGTTGCTGGGATAGGCTCCAGCCCCCCTGTGACCTCATATTGCATGGATGAAAGAATGAAACCAGGCCTGCAATTGTGAGCTGTGTTACTGTTTGTTTGTTTGTTTTTTGGACATTGGAACAGTGACCTGTAATAACTCTACTGCCTGGGGTCGCTGACCTCTGTTTACCCCAGCACGTGGGGTAACTGATCTCTCTTTTCCCCATAGTCTGGGGTGACATGTGCTTAGAAAAGGGAATGGCAGCTCCTTCTCACTGTGTTTCTCTGTTGTCTCTCCTTGTCCTTGTCTTTCTCCCTTTCTCTCTCAGGCTCGGATTCTCCTTCCTCCTCCACACCAGAAGAGGGCGACACTGAAGACGATGGCCTGGCCGTGAGTCGCTCTGTGTCACTCTCTCCCTCGGTGCTCTGTGAATGCGTATCTCTGTCTCTTTTTTCTCTGAGATTGTGTGGATTGAACACGGTACATCAGACCTCCCCTGTCCCGCCTCCCCATCGCCCCATCCTCGCTCTCTTCTCCCCTGCTCCCCTCCCTCTCTCGTCCCCTCCCTCTCTCGTCCCCTGTGTGTTTCATTTCTTCTCCTCCTTCCCTCTCTCTCGCTCCCTCGCTCAGTCCCAGGACAGCGAGTCGTCCTCCAGCAGCCGAAAGGAGATGCTGCCCAGGCCTGCCACCATAGTGACCAGCCAGTCCTCCGCCACCTGCTTTGTGCGCCCCCCTGCCACTGAGGATTATGGGTACGGAACCGGACACACCGTTGCCACGCCAACCCCTGCACAGGTAAAGATGCCTATGCCCCTGTTACTATGGACACCACCTATTGACTGGCTAGAGAGCAAATACTTGACATTGATTACAGAAGAGGACGCTCTGATTTTTGCCTTTATTTCCCATTGTTTTATTCCTGGTGGAGCAGGGTGCACCAACAGTAATTGCGCCCTTCTTATTGCTACACCCTACTGGAAACTAGGAAAGAGCTGGGAATAAGACGATATGTGCTGCACAACTTTGAGTTCAAAGTGTGTCTTTGAGTTACTCCTACTCTTAACACCCACTCCCTGTGAAGTCCTGCGGTTTATGTTCTCCAAGTTAACAAATGACACATCCAGTCTACTGACTGCTATGCCCGTGTTATCAATGCTTCAATAAATCATAATAATAATTCCCAATGATCACACCTAGAACTTTAGCGGGTGCTGTGCTCAATTTCTCTGCTGCTGATGGTCCGCTTCAGATAGAAACATTGTAGACACTTGCATCCACATAAACTGTAAACTGTACAGTGAACACCTCAGTAGCTCAGTGTGATCTTGATGAGTATGTTCTTGCCTAGCTGTAGGAATAGCAGCCCCTGCACTTCTGTAAGGCTTGAGTGTCTGCTGCTAGGGCAATGAATATGAGAGAGATATACCAAAGGACGTCCTAGGTGCAAGACTTACTGTATATATGTAAGAAAGCAGAAATATGCAAGATAAGTATCTTTCTACCCAAGCCTACAGACTCTTATTGGAGCCCCTGTGTGTGGACACACCTGGTGTCCAGACTCTTATTGGAGCCC